CCGGTGTCCATGCAGGACATGCTGACCTGCACCACCATAGACATCCTGGCCAAGGTGATGGGCAGTGGCTGGTGATGGGCAGTGGCTGGGCGCTGGGTCCAAGAGGGCCACATGGGGCAGAGGGTCCTCTCCTTTTCCTCTTCCCTTCCGCCTCCCTTCCCTCCCCGCCTCCCCTCCCTCCTACTCCTCCAGTGTATCAGTAGCCCCTTCTCTGTGCTTCACATGTCTTTCATATATTTTGTCTCCTTGGAGATTCAAAGCAACCTAGTGTGACATCAAGGTCACTAACTCATTCTCTAGAAATGGACACTGAGAGGTGTAGGGCCTGGCATAACTGGTCCATGGCAGAAGCAGGATTCGATCTCAGGTCTGCCTGACTCTCGGCCCCAAAGCCTGCCTTCCCTCTGCACCTCCCCTGGGGTATGGCTTGGCTCTCAGTCCAGCAGCCTCAGCGGTGGCCCAGATAACCCCAAACCCCGTGTGAAGGTAGGTCAGGCAGCCCCGTATAAAAGCGGGGACAGTGGATGGAATCATCATTATCATTGTTATTCACTGTGAAGCCGGGTGTAGAATGAACACTTGAAGAAAGCTGCATTTTAGGGAAATGCATCTTGTCAAGGAAGGAAGCCAAGGTTTATTGAGTAGGTGCCATGAGCTACTTAATCCTCACAGCATCCCATGAGATTTGAATTATCGCGGATTGTTGTGAGGAGTTGATGTGACGCACGTACACCCTTAGCCCAGGGCCTGGGTCTCCAGCTGAATGTGCCAGGTCTGCCCTGGGTCTGCCATCCTCCTACCCCAGTGATGACCTGGCCCTTCTCTCTCCCCCAGGCAGCTTTCGGAATGGAGACTAGCATGCTGCTGGGTGCCCAGAAGCCTCTGTCCCAGGCAGTGAAGCTGATGTTGGAGGGTATCACCGCATCCCGCAACACTCTGGCAAAGGTACTGCCCTAGCAGCCCCTCGGGCGACCATAGATGTGTTGTCCTCATTTGCTGAAGCACCTCCTTCAGTGATGTTGTTCAGAATGGGTTTTGAGTTCTGGTATGTCGGAAATGACTTCTGAATCAGGATTTGTATGCATTGCCTAAAGTAGAGGCTCAAAATCAAAGCGGCATAAAGTACATTAGGAGTTAATCTTTCTCTCATGTAGAAAGATTCCCAAAGCAGGCGATCTGGGATGGCTATGATGGCTCCACAATGTCAGCTTATTCCTGGACCCTTATGTCTTTCTCTCCACTGTCCTCAGCCCATCATCTCATTGTCATAGGATGGCTACTGCAAGAGGTACATCCTACCCACTGCCACTGATGCCCACGTGCACTGTCCAGGGGCCTGGGGATTAGTCTGCCATGCCCACCACCATGGGCACCCACACATACCATTGAGGGGCCTAAGGAGATGCCTGCCCTACCCACTGGCACTAGTGCCTCTGTGCTCCATATGGGGGCCTGGGGACCCACCTGCCTTGCCTGTCACTGCTAGAGCCTGTATACACCCTTGGGGGACCTGAAGTTGACCCACCCCTGCCCAACACTACTGTTACCCTCACATACTATTGGGGGGCCAGAGGACAGGCATACCCCACCTGTCGCTGGTGCTCACATGTGTCATCTGGGGGCCTGGGGATCAACCTGCCTTGGCTGCTGGCACCCATGCACACCACTGGGGGGCCTGGAGATTGATCTGCCATGTTTACTGCTGCTGGGGCATGCATGCACCATCCAAGGCCTAAGAAAAAGCCCACTCTTCTCACTGCTACCACCTGCTGTGCCCAAGCATGCCATCTAAACGTCTGGGGAATGACTCACTCTGCCCACTGCAGCTGACACCTGTGTACAATATTGGGGAACCCTGAGAACAGGCTCTCCTTGCCCACTGCTGCCAGTGTCTGTGCATGCTATATGAGAGCCTGAAGACAGGCCCACCCTGCCCACTGCTGCCACCACTCATACCTGAGGACTGGCCCACCTGGTGTCCCCATCTCCAGCAAATTCTGACCACAGCCTTCACTAATAGCTGCAGTTTAGACCACTGAAGAACACAGAGAGACCACTGACACTGATTACGGCTGAAGAAATCATATGAAGACTACACTTCTGCCCCCACCCAGAATCAAAGCCAAAGCTCCTTACCTACTCAATAATATACATACATCTATAGAAAAAACTCTTTCCCTATGAAAGTCAATCTAGAAAATGGGAAGAAGTGACTATCACACTAGATGAGTGGATACCAACATAAGGATACAAGAAACATGACAAAGCAAGGAAATATGATACCTCTCAAAGAACACAATAACTCTCTGGTAATAGATCCCAAAAAAAGGAAATTTATGAAATACCTGAAAAAGTGATATAATGATATTAAAGAATCTCAGCGAGATAAGAGAGAACATGGATGAACAATATAAAAAATCAGGAAAACAATTCATGATCTGAATGAGAAATTCAACAAAGAGATGGATATCATAAAAAATAAAGAAACAGAAATCCTGAAACTGAAGAATTCTATGAAAAAAATAAAAAATACAGTTGAGAGTTTCAACACTAGACTAGATCAAGCAGAAGAAAGGATTTCTGAACTTGAAGGCAGGTCTTTTGAAATAACCCAATCAGACAAAAAAAAAAAAAAGAAACAAAGAATCAAGAAAACCTATGTGACATATGGGATACCATAAAGTGACCAAATACTCAAATTCTCAGTGTTTCACAAGGAAAAGAGATAGGCAAAGGCATAGCAAACCTATTTAATGAAATGATAGCTGAAAAACTTCCCAAGTCTTGCAAGAGATATAGACATCCACATACAGGGAGCTCAAAGATCCCCAAATAGTTTTAACCCAAAAAAGTCTTCTCTAAGGTATGTTATAGTCAAACTGTCAAAAGTCAAAGAGAGAATCTAAAAACAGGGGGAAAAAAACCCACATCAAGTCATAGGTAAAGGAATCTTCATCAAAGTAAGAGTGTATTTCTCAGCAGAAATCTTACAGGCCAGGAGAGAATGATATGATATATTCAATGTGCTGAAAGAAAAATAAAATAACTGTTAGACAAGAATACTATACCCAGCAAAGCTATCCTTCAAGCAAAAAATGAGGGAATTCATCACCACTAGACTGGCCTCCAAGAAATTCTTAAGGGAGTCCTATATCTAGAAGTGAAAGTATGATATCTACCATTGTGAAAACATACGAAAGTATAAAATTCATTAATAGAGCAGATACACAAATGACAAAGAGAAAAGACTCAAACATTACCATTATAGAAAACCACCAAACTGCAATAATAAACAATAAGAGAAGAAGAAAGGAACAAAGATATACAAAAACAACCAGAAAACAATGAATAAAATGACTGCAATAAGTCCTTACCTATCAATAATAACCTTGAATGTAAACAGAATATATTTCCCCACATAAAAGATATAGACTGGCTGAATGGATTTAAAAGGTGACCCAACTATATGCAGCCTACAAGAAACCCACTTCACCTGTAAAGACACATATAGACTGAAAGTGAAGGGATGGAAAAAATATTCCATGCAAACAGAAAGCAGAGGCAAGCAGGAGTAGCTATTACTACATCAGATAAAACAGACTCTAAGTAAAAAACTGTAAAAAGAAACAAAGATGGTCATTATGTAACAATAAAGGGAGGAATTCAGCAAGAAGATAAAATAATTCTAAAGATATATGCACCCAATACTGGAGCATCCAGATATATAGGGCAAATATTATTGGATCTAAAGAAGGAGTCAACTTCAATACAATAATAGGGACTTCAACAGCCCACTCTCAGCATTAGATAGATCATCTAAACAAAAAAACATTGGATTTAAACTGCAATTTAGACCAAATGGACCTAACAGACATTTGTAGAACATTTCATCCAACAGCTGAAGAATATATATTCTTCTCATCAGCACATAGAACATTTTCCAGGATAGAACATATGTTAGGCCACAAACAAGTCTCAACAAGTTTTTAAAAAATTGGAATCATATCAAGTGTTTTCTCAGACCACAGTGGAATAAAATTAGAAATCAATAGCAAGAGAACTTTGGAAACTGTATAAATACATGGAAATTAAACAACATGTTCCTGAACAACCATTGTGTCGATGAAGAAATCAAGAAGAAAATAAAAAAATTTCTTGAAACAAACGAAAATGGTGTTACCAACCAGGTCCAGGTCTATTCTGCCTGTGTGCAATAAGTCAATCACTGTGACATGGGTTTTGCAAAAGAGAAAAGATTTATCAGCCAGGTGTGGTGGCATGCACCTGTAGTTTCAGCTACTCGGGAGGCTGAGGCAGAAGGATCGCTTGAGCCCAGGAGTTTGAGGTTGCTGTGAGTTAGGCTGACGCCACGGCACTCACTCCAGCCTGGGCAAAAGAGTGAGACTTTGTCCCCCCCCAAAAAAAAAGAAGGGCAGGGAGACCATTTCTTGCTCAAGATCGAGGAATGTGCCTGTTTCAGAGCAGGTGCTGCGGGACAGCTTTCGAGATTTCAAGGTCGGAATATTCCACCTTCAACTGGGCTGTTCGGGGTTGGTGAGAGTCAGCATGAAATGTTTCCGACACAAAGAAGTGATAAATGTTTGAGGTAATGGGGATCTCATTAATAAATACCCTGATTAGATCATTACACATCATATTCGTGTATCAAAATATCACACGTACCCTATAAATATGTACAATATTATGTATCAGTTAATATAGATAGATCGATAGCTAGCTAGCTAGCTAGCTGGCTGTTGTAGGCCCCGCTATCCTCTTTGTTCTAGGCATGAGGAAAGGGGACAGGTGGAACTTGAGTTCGTCCCAGGGCCATCCTCCTATTCCCGGAGACTTTAGCCTCTGAACTTGCAGCCTTCCATGTTGCCCGTTTTTTTTTTTTTATTTTTTGGCAGCTGATTCCATTCCCTCTGGCTGTGATTTCCTCCTGCGATGCCCTCCTAACTGCCTCCGTCCTCCAGGGTCCTCTTATCTCCCATGGCTCACTCCATGGCTGTTTGAAGGCGTCTTTCCCATCGTGTCTAAGGATTTGGTGCACAAAGGGGAA